AGTTGCCGCATATCACTTCACGTGGGTTTGTCCCACCTCGTCCAGCTACAGGGGATGAAGAGTAATACTACACGTACAAACGAGTTATAAGGTTTTACAAAGAGAGTTAATTTGATTGGTTAATAGATGGGGAGGCGGTCCACCCTCTCTGAAAATCAGGGGGGGGCAAATTTGTGATTGGTTAGTAGATGAAAAAAATTCTAGTCAGCATGTAATTGCACGTAACTCTTTGTATGTTTAGCATTACTAGCAAAAAAGTCCGTGCGTTGCAACGTGTGAAAAAGGTACACAGACCTATAGTTTGGAAGTATCATTAGGCTACACCACGATCGTGACTACATGCAGTATGATATCCATTACCTAGGAGACAAAATCTGATGCTAGCAGGACTTTAGCTCGAAATTCTTTCATAAGATGGAAATTGGAGTAGTTTAGTGCAATATGGATGTAAGGGGTTTACAATACATAACCTATGTAATCCAGGGATATTTAAGGCTGCTCGGTGTTTAATATTTGATTCCAGTATGTGAATTACAGATCAGACTATACATGCACACTATTCTCTAGCTTGAAACAGATTAAGGGGACCACCTATAATGTAAAAGCAGCGTATCTCTCCTTTTCATTTACAAATATTGGGTTACATAAAAAATTGTTTTCTAAAGAAAACATATAATTATTCAACTATTGGTACTTAAAGGTTGTCAAGGTACATGAATATGTCCTCGCAAAAAAGGTAGATGAATACGTTGCCATCACGCCAAGGTTCTTCATTTCCGCATTTATAGAGCTCTTGGTGCACATATATTTTTGAGAAGTGCAAAAAGGAAATCATGAGTGTCAGGCCCAAGTAATATCATCTGATTGGTATCTTCACGATATTAATATATTCTCTTTCTCAAAAAAAGTAATATCATCTGTCAATCCATTGTACTAACATTTAGTAAAAAAATGATGTCACTTAATAATTAGCATATCCGACTCACTGCAATACCTGCACTTGAACTTTAATTAACACGTGGTTACGAAAGTCGCAACGTGATAAAGAACCATATCAGTTGCCTCTCTCATCTTACACATGAAACCCTCTGTTCTTCAATGTCGTGAAAATGGGAATAGTCTTTTTGTCAATAAGATTGAACACAAACAATTTGTACAATTGACGACTGAAAGGTCTGTGCCAACCTTCTAGCATACAATCAATTATCATAACCAGACCGAGTACTGTATAATTATTTAAGAACCTCAAGTAGTAAGAAAAATAAAAAAAATAAGCAAACAAGGAGAAATTTGGAGGCATTTGGGCAGAATTCGAGAGAAAGGACCGGGCGGACTTGCGTTGTTTCTCTCTTAAAGCGTAGGCGCCTGTACTCATGGTTCTCCCAAAAGGCGACTGTTGATCCATCGGGAAGAACATAGATAATGACTCACGTTTTGATCCGGACTGTGCTTTACCTTCACTGAGATGTTCTGTCCAGTTGTGTCGTACTTTCCGGTAAAAGCGATCTGCAAAACCAGGCTCCGTTTGCTCCCTGATGCAATGCCGCGGGAACCAATCTGAAAGTACAAAGCTAGCTTGTGCAACCAGATCAATCCACCTGCAACGCGCCAATAGCACGCGCAAAGTACATCATGCCAGAATCAATCTATGGTCAAGGGAACAAAACGATTTGTATACCTGCATGCCTTGTATATGGTGAATCCATCAGCTAGCTCCTCTACACTTGCACATCTTGCCGCGTAAGGTCAGTTCGGAAAGTAGTCCAGTTAACCTCCAGAGGTGTGTGATCGCTAGGAAAAAACTCCATATGTCTCATCGGCGAGGTCAGGCTGTGCCAACAACACTCAAATTATAAGTATCGTGCACCTCGGCAACAGCGGCGCGCTCGGCAGCGGCTCCCTGGAAGACCCGCATGTTGCATCCGAGCACCTCGTTGAGTGGGTAGCCCGTGAAGGAGGCAAGGAGGTCATGCAGCGGATGGCGGTGACGTGGTCGGATGTGGACAGCTCCACGGGCAGCGTAAGGAACGACCATCGGGTGCGACGGTCATTGCCATTGCCGCACCTGGCATCTGGCGTTGGCCCGGCAGCAACTCCTCGCAATCGCTGGTCGGCAAGCCTCGTGTGGACCATCGACGGTCCCGGGGATCCGTCTCCCACCGGCGCCATGGCAGGCGAGGCTTAGTAGCAAGAGCCCGTACTCTTCTAACACGCCGGCGGCGAGCCTTGGGTCCGCGGCTGAGGATGCGTCCCAAACGATTAGTTTCTATTCTCCTGGTTTGATTTGAGAAGCAAATCGATGGGATAAGCTAACCGTGACGTTCTATTTATTGCAGCAGATTGGTTTTGGAGTTAGAGTTGTATGCACAATGGACTAATAATGGACAGCGATGGATCAGGAAACATACCAAAAAAATAGAACAACCACGCATAGCCGGATGGAACATACGGAAAACCAAATAAGGCAAGAATCTTTTTCCCTAAGCGCCTAGGGAAAGATTAGGGAGAGAGACGTGTTGAAGAAAAAGAAACTGAAAGCTTAAATTCACGGAAAGAAGCGTATTGTGACGGTGAACCCCACAAAGTCAATCCGTGCTTTATTATTATTATTATTATTATTAGAGAAAGATTGGGGGATGAAACGGTGAGATTGGTTACTTAAGAAGGCAGGCTCAGGTAGGAATAACGTGCAAAGCAGTTAGCTTGGGCCAAGAAAACACATGGTGTAAAAATATGTTTTCTGTATATGGTCCCTAATCGGCTAAAACCGAATACCGAACCGAAAAAATCGGTTAACTAAATTTTTGGTTAGTTGATTTTTTTGTTAATTTCGGTTTTCACTTTTGCTAACCGAATTCATAAAATAACTTTCGGTTTCTACCGAACGCCCAGACCTAGTAATAGCAGGTGTTTTAGAATTGGAGCACCTGCGCTTGATCCCTACAGAACGTGACTTTTTTTTAGTTCTACAGTCGCAACATTGGCCGGCCCGGTTGGATATCCGCATGTGCATGCGGCCGGCAATTTGCCGCAAAGAGCGGTAGACAGGAGGTCCCAGCCATCGGGAAGCTGGGGAAAGTGTGAGGGAGCCAGTCTCTAGGGCCAAGCCAAGCTATATCTGGCTGTAACAAGCCACATGATGGGAGCGTCCTCAAGCACGAGACGAAAGAAGTCCATATTTCATCTCCAAATGTGGCCTGATGGACGAATACCACCTTGAACTCTAATTTGGTATGATTTTAACACTAAAATCTTCAAAACCGGATAAATGCCCCCAAAGTGGTTTTGCAGCTGGTTTTACGGATTTTAGCTGGTTTTAGAAGATGAGTAGTCATTGGCACTTTTGACGTGGCACCGACAGCTTGTTCTTGGTTCCATCGGACCAGCACAGTCGCTCCATCAGGACGCGTGCGCGCCCATCGTATCTCGCCGCCGGCCCCTCAGCGAGTCTTGCCGGCGGGAGCACCGCATTGGACGGTCATGGTCGGTGGCTGCTGGCAAAGCGCCCCGAGCACCACTACAGGCGCCCTTGACGCAGCCCACCTCCATGTGCTGCACAGGCACACCGCCGTTGCTGCCGTGTCCTTGGGTCACTGTTTTCGTAGATATAGTAGCAGAGTTTGTGTGAGCAAAATAGTATGGTATACAAAATACAATAAAATTAGGACGCTTGGCACGGATCAGGCTGAAGCCTAGCATCATTCAGACAACGTATGAGTTAACTGAAATAAGATCCAGACAAAGTGTTGAAAGAAATCAAAATCTAATGTCTATTTCTTTTGCTAAACTTCAGATTGCTTGGAAGGAAAATATGAATATAACCAACTTGTCTTGCTCTGTTTTCACGACTCAGTCTAAATGTAGTCAAGACCTGACCTGAATATCAAGTCCTCAGCTTATACCAATATCCATTTCCATCAACATGCACAATGCTAACATAAGCAGAACAGAATGTGACTAAGCGACAACGAATGTACCATCTTGACAGAATTCACACATCATCGGGTCATCATCAGCGGACCATTTCAGTTCAAACATTTGAAAGTCTGAAACTCTGTCCTCAGCCTGTAGAGAATTGAGTCCCTGTAATATAGAAAATGCAGTAAAAGGAACACGATTTGCTCTCTAGTACTCCCTCCGTCCAAAAATACTTGTCATCAAAATGGACAAAAAAGGATGTATCTAGAACTAAAATACGTCCAGATACATCTCCTTTTATCCATTTTGATGACAAGTATTTCCGGACGGAGAAAGTATACAACAGCTCATGGCATCGCTAACACACTCGTCGAGGCATCCCTCAATGAAACAAACGGGCGTCCTCTCCGCCCGATGAACATGACGTGTCATGGAAAAAAGGCTCGACGAAAACCCTATATTGCGTGCCCTAATAGCCCTACAAAACAGAGGAGGAAGGACAAAAAATGTGGGGCACTAGGTTCGCATAACGTACCTCCGTCCATGGCTTCAATCGGATCACGAATTAGTGGCCCCGATCATGAGCTGTGCCGGCGGTGACGGCGTCTGGCGAAAAGCGGCCCGAGGAGATGAAACGACCAGGAGATTCGACTTGGCGACGAGGGTGAATCGACACAACCCAACCATGCCATGTCAGCACCCTTTAATGGGAAAAACCGCCTAAAATCAGCACCAAAACCATTCAAGGGGGACATTTACCCGGTTTTGGAGATTTGAGGGTCAAAATCATACCAAATTGGAGTTTAGGGGGGTATTCATCCATCTCACAACATTTTGGGGTGAAATATGGACTTCTTTCGCACGAGACTGTAGGGCTGGCAGCCCAGGTTCAAGCACATGCTTGTTAGTTTTTCTCCTTTGTTTTTCCATCGTTTGGTTCCTTTAAATTTTTGTTTTGTTCATATTTTTGAAAGGAATCGAAAATGCATATATTACCAAACCAATTTACTTAGAATTGAAGCTGCGAATTTGAAAAATATTAACATAGTATAAGCGCAATTTAATTCTTTTTGTGACCATCTAAAAAAGTTCCGAGTTTCAAAATAATGTATGGAAACTTTGTTAAAATTTGAATGCAATGTAAAAATAATGTCTGTGTAATATAAGAAAATGCTTAGTAAAATTAAAGAAATGAATGCGACAATTTAAAGAAATATTCCCGCATCTAAAATAAATGTTCGTGAATGCGACAATTTTCGAAGAAACAACCTCAAGTGAATAGCATAAATTCTATTGAAAAAATATTATACAATGAAAGAAATGTGCATGCAGTTAAATTTTATTTACAATGAAACAATTGTATGTCACATTTTAAACAAATATTGACATGTCTCCAAACAATGTCCGTCAAATTTTCGAAATGTTTGTACAATGTTAAAGAAGTTTGTGTATTTAAAAATGCTTATTAGGGTTAAAAAATTTCAAAGTGTATTTGCAAAATATTAACATTTATTCGAAAAAGTATACAATGTAAAAATAATGTTTGTGAAGTTTTTTTTCCTGTCGACAAGTTGGTTGATAAAATGTTTTTTCCTTAAATAAATGTACAACATGTTTTTGGAAAATGATACCGTTTATCCATTCAAAACATGTATTTTGAAACAATGACATCGAATATTCGAAAAATGTACAATGTTTATCAAAAAAATGTTGCGCATCTGTTCTAAAAATGTAAATTGTTCTGAGAAAAAGTAGACATGTGTTAAAAAATAAGAGCGATGATAACCAGCAAGAAAACAAGAAAGAAGTAGAAGAGAACCATTGTATAAGAAAGAAAGCAAGAAAAAACCCAAAGAAAACCTGTGAAAAAATCCACAGAAAACCAGAAATTAATGAAGGAACGATAAAAAAAGAAACCATTGAAACAAGTAAGAGAACCAAAGTATAGCAAAGAAAAAAAGAGATGAAAAAGCAAAGAAAAACAAAAGGAAAAAAACCGGAGAGCGGTCCTATAGCGCACACGAGCATTTCTGCGCTAATTGGCCGGCCCGATAGTAGGCGATTCCTAATTGCAAAGCAGAATCCGGACAGGTTTTCGAATGGTTTCGAACTTCATATAGAATTTGTGATTTTTCTATACAAAGAACAATGTTTGAAAATCCGATCATTTATTGAAGAACTCATATTTTTTTTCAAATTTTCAAAAAGTAAAATAAAAACGTGAACATTTTTCGACAGAAAGAATTTTGAAATTCCAGAATATTTGATGGAAACGCGAACATTTATTGAATTTTGAGAACAAAAAATCGGTAATGGGAACAACTTTCGAAAAGTGCAAACATTTTCTGAAATTCCTGACCTTTTTGAAAAACTCAAACAGTTATAGAATTTTGGGAAAAAAATTGATAATGCAAACTCGTTTTGAATTGTTGAACTTTTTTCAAAATTCCCTAACATTTTATGAATTTGTGAAACAATTTTGATATTCTGAACAGTTTTTCACAATGGAAACATTATTTGAATTGTTGAACAATTTTTGAGAAGCACGAACATTTTTTGAAATTCCCGAACATTTTTTTAAATGAGAACATTATTTATAAACAAGAAATTTTTTTGCATTATGAATTTTGTTTAGACGGGAACAATTATTTAAATCACGAACATATTTTGAATTTTTAGAACAAATTTGAAAGGGAGAACAATTATGAAAACCCCAACAAGATTGAAACACGAACATATTTTGAATACCTGACCAACAATTTGAAAACAAGAACATTTTTTGAATTTATGATCAATTTTCAATACAAGAACAAAAACATGCAAACATTTTCGGAAAAACTGGAATATTTCTTGAAATTCCGAAACAAGTTCAAAAAATGGAAACAATTTTTGAATTTAGGAACAAATTTTGAAAAACACGACCATTTTTATAAATTTTGAAATGATTTATAAGCGCGGATTTTTTTTAAGTTTCCAAATAATTTCAAAACAAGAACTCCTTAAAGAAAGAAAAATAAACTTGAAACATAAAAAGAAAAAAAAGAAAAAAAGCAGAAAAGAAAAAGGAAAAGAAAAGAAAAAATAAAGAATAAAAAAAACAGAAAAACGAAAAAAGAA